CATAAGGCCCAGAGAGTCTGATGACAGGAAGGTTGGTTGGAGCTAGTGCCTCAAAGTCAGGTCTGACACAGTGGGCCTAGGCTAGAAGGCCTAGCTGAACTAACGGGGTGGAGGCCAAGTAGGCCAAGGCCCTAACAGAGGTAACCAGAGGCAACCTGATCAGGGTGCAGGGCCCAGGGCAAATCAGCCTGTACAGGGCCCCACCCCTGGATGCGAAGAAGCCAGTGGGGGATTCAGCAGGGGTGGCAGGGTGCTAAGTGGCTGGATGTGAAGCCAGCGGCAGCGTGGAGTTATTGCAGTCGCTCCACCCAGCTCTTTGGGGCCTCCCAAAGCACGGGGCCCAGGGTGGTTGCCCTGATTCACTCCCTATCTCCCAGGGACGGCCCTGGAGGTAACAATATTTGTGTAACACCCATGAGGCATGGGGCATGGTATAGGGAAGGTTTGGAGTCATGCATTTAGCCCCCCCGGGCTCAAGGTGCCCTGTGCAGCATTGTACTGGAGTGAGGGCTGGCAAAGGGCCCAAGGACCACTGAGTTCTTGTGGGGTTCAGTGGACCAGGGCCATGCAAAAGCCTGGTGATTCATTATTTGCCCATCAAGATATGGTAGGAAAGACAAGAGGGTGCCCTTGGGGTGGAGCTGGCACAGTCGTGGAGCTGCCAGAGGTGTCATGGCCAACCCTGGGATCCCCGACCAGTGACAAACCTGCAGACTGAGTGCCACAAGTAGCATAAAACAGATTGGGGAGGGGGACAGGAAGCATAGCAGTAGATAGGGCAGGAAGCAGAAGGCAGAGCAAGAGATCAGGCAGGGGGCACAGGGCAGGAAACAGAAAACAAAGCAGGAGTTTGGGCAGGGAGCACAGTGAAGGGAACAAAGGAGAGCAGCAGATCAGGCAGAGGAAGGGGATTGGACTGGTACTCAGGGAGGGTGTGGGGCTAATTTGGATAGATATACTGTAGCCCAATAGGGGATATTTAAAAGTGTATTATGGAATATGTTTGTATTTACAGTTGCACAGAAAAAATAATGTGTACTGACTGTAATGCAGTGATGTTTGCCTGACTCTACAGACAGACTCTGGCAAAGAGAGGGACAATAGATGTTATAGCCATGGAGGATGCCCCACACCTCCCTCCAGAGCCAGCATCGTCATTTCTATTCTAAAGATGAGAAAACTACATACCTAAGTAGTTTGGATATAGCAAGGTGCTTCCTATTTGAGGGAGTGGACTGAAAATCCCTCTAGACACCATTTTAGCCTCAAGTTCTATGGGTTAGTCTGGGGGAAAAATAAGTGATATTTGCCAAATGCCAAAACTTCTGGTATTGTGAGACTGCATATATCCTTACTTTCTTACATGCCTTTTATTAGTGAAACAGTTAACAGTGTTAACGCTTAGATCCTTATCATCTACCATCTGAGTTGCCAATCATTAACTGCAGAGATGAACCAGGATGTTTTTACGTATTTGGGTTTGTTATTTCAGGTTCACTGGAGACTAGATAGGTGATGTCCATTTTAAGGCCTTGACATAACCAGTGCCATTTACTGGACATGAGGCAAGCAAGTAGCAGCTTGGGGGTGGAGGGGGGATGGATGGGACCTACATAGTTGACTGAAGTAACTAACCTATGTGAAAGACAATGCAGGTAACAAAGTAACGGGGTGATAGTTGCTCTGAAGGGGGGACTGGTGGAGGATAGTTGCTGTGAGTGGGTAATTGGTGAGAATTTGTGACATCACCATAAGTGAAGGCTTGTAAATCATATAAAAATAAAAAAATATTGTAGGACATATAAATAGCTACTGAAGCAGCGTAACCCTGGGGAATCTGAACAATTGGAAAGCTGGAAACTTGAAAACAAACTTTGCTGTTGTGGATGTGACCCCTGGGTATCTTGAAACACCTGGCTAGCAGAGTCCTCGTATCACATGGAAGGCCTACATAAGTATCCCTGTTTCTTATCTGCTTAATAACCTTTGGATTTGAAGCTGGAATAGCACTGACAATCAATTAATCTGTCCATGCCCCTTTTAATTAAAATTGAATGTACCAGTAGTAGCAACTCCATGGATTATTTTAAAATTAGCTTGCATTTTGAAGGTGGGTTTTACTTATATGCACACACATACAGTGTACTCTTCCCAAAATTACAAATTATTATTACAACACAGGATTTTTATAAGGTTTTATAAGCAAAGCGGTTAACTATTTTACAAAATAAGTCCTTTTGGAAAAACAGTAAGCCCTTATTTTTCCATGCTAATTAGCTCAGTAACAGACTAACAAATAGTTTTTCTAGGCTTTCAAATTTCCCACATCGTTCAGTCTCATTGAAATCCAATGCATTACAAATGCTTATAAACAACCTTTGAACATGTAATTGAGGATCAGTGGTAACTTTATTCCTTTATGAATAATAAGATTTTTTTTCATGATTTATTCAGAGTTCCAGGAGGAACTCTCTCTTTCAAAATGGCTACCATCTTCTGTTGCTTTCACTAGGACTGTAGACACAGCTGCTGTCGGTGGCCATTTTAAAGCATCTCTGTCACTGTTCTCAAAGGAACTGAGTATCTCAGCTTCTCTTACCACCTTCTCTGAAGGCCTTTATGGCTTCACTTGCACTGAAAGCAATTGGAAATGGCGGCCATTTTAGAAAGGTAATTAAATCATTACAAACTTTGAGTTATGAAATATAATGGCAAAATGACTACTTACATATTTTAAAAGGTATTTATTGCAAAAAATCTGCTCAACAGGGAGGTGAGGTAACCTAAGATGTGAGTGTATGCAGGGAAATGTAAAAGACTGAAGGAGAAATGGAGCACGAAGGGTTGGCAATATACCACCCCTCTGTAATCTTAAGTGTTAAAAAATCATGAGTCTGATTGGAAAATAATACTAAATTTTGCCTTCTGGTTTCAGAGCCTTTAGGCTTCATATGCTTCACACTTTCAAACTTTTTTCCTGCAACCACCAGAGCTAGAGACTTTCTGTACTTTTTTTTACATGAAAGCTGATAAAATCTGGAGAATTCACAACAATCTAACAGAGGCTACAAGAAGCAAAAAGGAGTTTGGGGATTTGTAGGCAGTGGGATTCAGAGAACAGGGAAAAGAGCAAAACTGGTGTGTACTTCACGGATTTGTGCTGTTGTGACAAAATAAAGCAGCTGTAAACCTAGTTTCACTAGTAACTTACTGAGTGCTTTGTGATACTTTGTTCTTTTGTTTTGTTCAGTGGCCAAGTAAAAGATAATATAAAAAAATCCCTAAAACAATTCTTTTTGTTGAAATCAAAATTTGCCATTTTTCAGTTGAAAATAAAAATTCATCTTGGTTGAATGAAAGGAATTATTTAGTTTCCAGGTAATTTTAATGAAAACAAAGGACTAGGTTTGCAAGGGGATTTAGTTGCCATTCACAAGAGCAAGGAAGAAGGGGTACTGGGATGCGTTCCAATCCCTGCTCCTATGAATATTCAGGTCTTTTATACAAAGTGAAGCAGCTTCTACGTGAGTGAGTAAGAGAGCCCTGTCCAAAAATATCCCTAGGGCACTCCTTTGAGGTGCGAAACCTTAGTTCAAATTCCTGTTCAAAATTAGATGGAGTGGATTTAATTGAACATTCTTATTTTCCATGGAAGTCCCAACCACTGCCAGACTGAAGTCCCTAAAATTCAAATGTTTTGTGTTTAGCTGAAAGTATCTGCTAAATCTGACCTGAATTGATATTTTGCTGTTGGCTGAAAGAATTTTTCAGGGAATGTTAACCAAAAAAACACTAAATCAAGCCCCATGCAGGAGAGAAATCAGCATGGAACCTGGACACAAAAGCTAACTTTGAGGCTGGTAGAGACATTACATTTTTAAAGGTACCAGTGATCAGAAACTGGTCTATACTCATAACAGAAGTTCAGCACATGTGGATTGGTTTAAAAATGGTGGAACCGGGTTTTGGATTTGCTGTCCTTCCCCCACCCCCACCGGCAACAGTTTTGGTGGTGTACCCCCTGCAAAAAGCACCGCGGCGTTTATGCCCACACAAAAGGGCAAGCGTGTGCTCTGTTCACCCCAGATCTAACTATACCCTTTACAGAAAACTGAGATCGACTGTCCTTTGGGCTTTTTGAATGTCTGCACCCAGCCTAAGAGAACAATTTAAACTTGATGATCTGTAGTTGTGAATGGGTAGAAATAGGAATGCCCAGTTTTAATTCCTCATGCTCCCCTGTTCATAGGTAAAATCTTTTAAACACAGAGGAAATCCTGAGGTCACAAGGCACCTGGAGGGATCCGGGGGGAAAGGCCCAGCTGGAGTATGAAGTGATTATTACACAAGAGGGAGGAAACAAATCGCAGCTCAAGCTAGAAGGCGGGCAGGATGCAAGCGTGTCAGGACCCGCACCGCAGTCAGGCCGCCAGCCCCCAGAAACAGTGCGCGGCGGCGCCGTTTGTGCGCCGAGCGACTGGTCGGCCGCCAGGGGCACAACCTCCCCAGCCCCAGGTCACTCCGGCCCTGGACCGGCGCCGCGCAGCCTCTGCAGGGCCGGCTCGCGGCGCTGTCAGCTCGGGGCCTGGCTTTAGCAGGAGGACGCGGGCCGAGGCTGACGCGAATCGTCCCTCAATGCGGCCGGGGCCAACTGCAGCCCCGGACCCGGGCGCTCAGGCCGGCGGGTGCCACGCGCTGCCCCGGAGCCGCCGTGGGTGACCGGAGACGGCCCGGCTCGTCCCCCACCGCCTCCCTCCCCTCCCCCCGGCCGGGCGCTACTGCGCGAACCTCCCTGTCACGCTCGCCGGCGTTTGCAGGGATGGGTGACGTCACGGCCACAGGGGGCGGTGATTGGCTGGGAGGTCAGCCCTGCCCCCTCCGGGCGGGGCAGAGCCGGCACCTCCCCCCTCAGTGCGGAGCTGCCGCCGGGCGTGCGTGGCTCCGGCTGTGCCCGTACGGCCACGTCCGCGGCTCGGCTTGGCACGGCAGGGCAGCACAGCGCAGCTGGCGAGCGCAGGGCGGCCATGGGTCGGGCGCTGCGGCTCTGGGTGCTGCTGCTCGTGCTGTTGGCGCCGCGCGGCCGCGCCTGGGACAGCGGCGACCTGGAGCTGTTCGACCTGGTGGAGGAGGTGCCGCGCAACTTCTACGACTTCCTCGGGGTGCAGCAGGTGAGCGCGGCCCGGCCTGGCCCCCGCGCCGCTTGGGGGGCGCCTTGTG